TTAGATGTGACTGTGAGTCGGCTCATGTATTTGCATAGGTTCATGCAGCTATCCATGTGTTTGTGTATGTCTGTGTGTAGCTATGCTGCCAGCCCTGGTACTCCATCGTACCGCTATTCGTCCTTACCACAGGGGGTTTTACTGCAGCGACTCCAGCCTGTACTACCCCTACAAGAGAAGCACCGTACCTTCCTCAGTCCTCATTTCTGTTGGCTTGACACTGCCTGCGGTGTCCGTAAGTCCATCCGACATAAAGAGCACTTGGCGATGGGAAACTCTGAAGGCGGAAATAGGAAGGGCTCAAGGTTTATGAAAGTGGCTGTGAAGGAGTGACACTGCTACATAAGCTCTACCAAAGTTTAGATAGGCTTATATAACTTTTTTCTGAAGCTGCAAGTGCATCTGATTTTGGAAAACAGTCACTCCTTTGCTCCAAGCTGTCCATCTGACTTCCTTAAGCCCCAACCACTTCTGCTATCCCATGATCCCCAGTGCCGGCATGCTCCTTGTGCTCCCGCCGTTCTCTCCTGTTTGTGTCTGTGTAACTGACCTGGTGCTTTTATTATTTCTTTCTTCTCTCCCTCTTCCTGTCCTTCTCTCTTTGTGTCTTTTGTAGCTAGCCTGCCTTTCCTGATCATTGAGACTAGCACCATACAGCCGTACCAGCGCGGGTTTTACTGTTCGGACGAGTCCATCCGGTACCCGCGAAAAGAGGGAGAGACCATTAGTGATGCTGTGCTTTGTGGTGTTGGCATTCTTATTGGCATCTTCTCCGTAAGTCGATCTTTACACCTCCCTTGGTTTAATTCTTGTAAAACTCTTAGATACGTCATAGTAGGGTTACTCAATTGTGACAAAAATCATCATTATGGCTATTTTGGTTAACGTTGAGGTCTAAATTATTTAACTTTGGCTCTGGAAACATCATACATTTATTGACATTCTAAAAAGCAAAAGGTCTTATAGCTCAGTGGATTTTTAATCTATAAATATAGTTTAACTGAACTAAGATCTTTAGTGAAGATCTTAGTTATTTTAGGTAAGTAAAGTAAAGAAAAATCAGATCGTCTGGACCGGATTAGCACCTTGGCCCTGTCACAAGTGGCTCTTCACATAGAGCCATAGGCAGCTATCAGAGACCAACGGAAGTTCCGCGCTGCTTCAGTATTGTAAATAGTAAATAGGCGGTATTCTCTTGTTAACTCATAATCGTGCAGATTGTAGCTTCACAATGTCAGCTGGAGAGCTAAGAACATACACCAGATGTCTCAAGGTGTGGATTCCTTCCTATGGAGCAAAATTGATATCCGGTTAATATCCCCAGTAAGTACAGAGATCGGTGGGGCTGCTTATTTATTGCAACAAATAATAAATTTTGGTCAATATTGGAATGAAGATTATATAAAGATGACTCATCGAAATATCTTTTAACACGGGATCTTCTTGAACTTGGTGGGGAGTGAGTCAGTGTTTTAGGTAGAGCAGACAGAAGCTGGATTTAAAGCATAAGACAAAAGAAAACGATCACTAAGAAACCAAAACGCATAGTCCCAAACCTAACATAGAGCCTTCATCAAATTTTTGTTTTTATCATGCAGTGTTATCTAAAATTCTCCAGTTTTTTTCCTTTAAATGTGCTTTTTTGTTTCCCCCTCCATTCTATAATGCTTTCTTCTTAATACTTCATTCTTCAGGAGCTTTTTCCAAGCCATTTATAATGGCCTGCATTTTATTACTTTACTAAGTGAGTGAGTCAGTCGGTAGTGAGAGGCCCCCCAAGCGATATTAGGAAGTGTATGTTGGTGTATATGTGTGTTGATGCATGCATGCCAAAGACCAAAGAGATTTTATGAGCTCTTACTCCATTCTCATGGCTGACTCCGTGCCCTCTGTGCCCTGTACATTACTACTGGTAAATATGTCAGCGCTCTGTTCGCTGCCACACTGGTAGCCTCGAGCGTCTCACTAGTTAGCAACAGCATGAAATCTTCGTTCCCATGACTGGAACCGTGCTCCAGAAAACGGGAATGGTTCTGGTGTTGTGCCAGCAGATTAGAGGGGGTCAAGTTTAGTGGAAACATGTTATAATGACTTGTGGTGGGGTGCATGACAATTACTGCCACGTGGTCAAGCTAAATGATCTTTACAGCCCCCAGACTCCTATGTGGCACAGCCCCCTCATAAGTTCCCAGACTGAAACATTGCTTCGCTGTCGCCTCTATGCCATCAACTTAGTGGGCGCCCACGCACGTACACGCTGGAGCAGCTCAGCTCTTCTGCTTATTGGATCCAGGACCCTGTTCTTGTGTTAGTTAGCTCCCTCACATGTTCACGTGTGGGCAAAGCTGGCGTGTCTTACACAGCTGTATTCCATTAGTGGCGTCTACTGCCATGCCGACACCATTCCTGTAACACACGCGCTGTCTCCCATGCTGGCACAGGCACATGGATACGCATATATGCACATATATACATACAGTGGTAGCAGATTCCACTTGGGTCTCTTGTTTATCTCTGCTGAAAGGAAAATCCCAATAGCCCTGCTGGTCAGACAGATTCATGTCTGGCAGTCTCTGTTTCCACAGTTAGAAGTTATGAGTTACCATGCATAATGATGATCTAAAAAAAAAGATTAGATTCTCTGGGATACTCAGAGATGCTCTATACAAGCAGATATATAAACTAAGACAGGGGGTAGAAACAGGAGAAGAGATTTGAATGCTGGCAGCAAAAATAAACAATTGTAGCCTGTATTAGTCTCCTGTGGTTTTAATCTTCACCTCTGATCTGAGTAATTCAATGACAATAGCACAGACAAACATACATTACACCACCATGTTTATTTCGCCTGGCTGTGAGCTGAGCTGAGCACCCAATACCCAGAATAGGTGTGTTTGTCAAGATTAACAGCACACACAAAGAGTACATGTACACAGTAAAAAAAAGCTAATAAAACGAGGGTACATTGTGTGGAAAGAGTGTGAATGTAGTACTGTTTACAATCACAATGTCTGCAGGCATAAAGATGTGCAGATAAATACTTTTTAAAGAACTTATTCAGAAGACTAAAGCCTTTTGTGGGAAGAAGAAGGAAAGAGCAACTGGTCTATTAGTCCAGGAACCCAGGTGGTACAGACTTAATTCACATCTTTGTGCCTCAAGGCATGACTTGGCGCGCAAGCCCCTTCAGTATAGATGAGGTCTTTTCAATGGGCCTTACCTCTACTCAGCATTTCCTGGTTAGACTACCACAGGACTCACAATTAGCTCACTGGACTAAAGCTCCATAAAAAATTATATAGATACCTGTTTTCCTTTTTTCATTGACGTTCACTTTCTTTTTTATTCTTTACATCCGACGTGGAAGACCGGATCATATCACCGAACCTTTGCTCACATTCACATCATATTCAAACTGCCTGAGGGAAAGGCAGGCCATGCTCATCTTTTCTGTTTGTTTATGTGTGACTTTGCATCATTCTGTTGTCCTGTCTTTCCTGTCTGTTACATCCTTCATAATCTCTCTGTTACTTCAACCTGGAATTGAGTTAGATTTCCTGCATGATAACTCAAAAGTTACAATTTTATTGCATGGTTTTACGTGGTTGAAACTAATGTAGTGTTGTTTGATTCGGCAACATCTTAAAAAATTTTTGTAATGAGTGTTGTGTGCTGTATCTGAAAAAAATGTTCCTTTTAGATTGTGATTGGAGAATGCTACAGGATTCACCAGCTGCACCAAGGAACCAAGTCATTTGTGGGGAATCCATACGTTGCAGCTCTCTACAAGCAGGTCAGCTCTGCATCTGACTGGCATCATACGTGTTCTAATAATTTCTTACATAGTAAAGCATTTTTTTTAAACATCTCAATTTTATCGCCAAACCTAACATGGTATGTATGTAATTTTTATGTGAGGCACATAGTCGACTGTAAATTCTAATAACAGCTGTTTGACAGAATGTTTTGAAGGAACTAAAACATTATCTCAAAAGTGGGATAGGAAACATGTTTTTTGCATCAACACAAAAAAATATTATAAACCTTCAGTGCAATATAACTGAAGTGATATGAGACCTTTCTGTGGTCTCTGGACCAGCCTCTTGAGGAAGTCAAAAACAGTACTGAGTGTAGTGAATTACTCACAAGACATAATTAGTAACAGCTGTTAAAATGTGTTAGCGACACAACTTTTACATCAGCCACAAAATCTTTGGTCTTAGAATAGCATGTTACATTTTGAAAACTCATATCGTGTGTACGATAAATCTGCCACCATTGTTGTTTTAGGTACTTGTGCTGTGTAAGTCTAGAAGTCTTAAAACCATAGCAACAGTAATGGAGACAGTTCTTATCTAACAATCAGTTACAGTCATCTGCTGTATCTAATCACTGTTGTGTGTCATCTTGCAGATAGGTGTGTTTCTCTTTGGCTGCGCCATCAGCCAGTCATTCACAGACATTGCCAAGGTGTCTGTAGGTCGGATGAGACCCCACTTCTTAGATATTTGCAGACCAAATTTCTCCACTATTAACTGTTCATTGGGGTACATCACCAACTATACCTGCACTGGGGAAGAGAGTGAAGTACAGGAAGCAAGGTTTGTGTAAACAACGATGCACAAACAGTATGAACAGAATATAATATGTTTATTAATGTACTCCTTCAGAGTTTAAAAGTTACGGTTTCTCTCCACAGGAAATCCTTCTTCTCAGGACATGCCTCGTTTTCGTTATTCACCATGCTCTACCTGTGTGTAAGTAACCATCAAGCTCTGATATTCTAACATTCATGCAGGCACACATATGCTGACAATCAGAGAAACAATGATTTGCACATAGATGGAGTTATGGAAACAAGGCTGGGCTCTGATTAGGGGATTTACTGCTTGAAGAAAGAGCAAAACATTGTTCTGATCCACTGCTCCACCTACTCTTCTTCATCTCCGCACTCATTTTTATACTCTTTTTTTAATTCCTTGGGGAGAAGGATGGATGCACTCCACCTGTTTTCTTCAAAACAGTTGCATGCATACTTCCTGTTCTCACTCATCCCTTTCCACATCTTTCTCTCAGTCCACCTGTTGTGGGTGTCTGGTAGGGTTTAGCACCCCAGAGGCATTTCAAGCTACACACACACACACAAACACAAACACACATCCCAATCATCTCCCCCTCTTCCTTTGTTTACAGACCACAAATTTTATTCTCCCTTGTATGCTACAGGGATTTAAGAATAGAGTCAGTGTTTTGGGTTTGGCTGGCCTGGTTACCAGGTGGTCTTGGTTCTCAGAGTGAAGACACTTGAATATCTCATGTATTATAGTGGATTGCAGTGCAGCGCAGTGAGAGGTTGCTGTGGGTATTTCCCAGCCTCTGGGTGAACCTACAGCTGCACTCTGGTCAGACGAAGGAAAAGAACTGCATAAAATGCAGGGGGAAAGTAGGAAGGGAATGGGGATGTGCTGCATCCAGACCACACAGTGACACACTAGTCAAAGACCAATGTTCCAGCTGTGGTAAACTCAGGACTGCCAGCATCAGTCCAAACATGAGTGGAGTTGAAAAGAGGCAGAACAGCTTGTAGTTGATGTTTTTGAATACAAAACCGTCCTGAAACAAAGACCACAGGGTAGGCCCACGCAGTGGTAAAAGGAAACTGCTTTTCCGTTTGTCCCAGTCATGTGACATCACATTTCCACTCAAAGAAGTCCCCTCTTGAAGTTTGCCTAAATATGCATTCTTGTAGACGTCACTAACAGCCAAACTCTAAATTAAAACCAAAGGAATATGAAGATGGAAGTTTGACAGTTGAGGGCACGTGGTAGCTAGTAAGAATTAATGTCAGGGATTAATACTCAATACTTAAAACAATTAAATGAATAGAATATAAATAGAAGATGGAACAGCTTCATATGCAAATGTTGCTTTTTGCACAACCGTTCTAGTGAAAATAGGTTATCAAGGCTGCCTTTTTCCTCATCAAAGCCTCTAGTGGCATACATATTCCTTTTCTTTGGTGCTTTCGCTCACTCATCACTTTCCACTTTGAAAGTGTCATTTCCACATTGGGGCTGCCACCTCGTCCTCTTTCTCGCAACCTCAATTTATCTGCTAATTGGCATTTTGTGAAGTTGAAGCACTTAATTTCCTGACGAGCATGCCTCAGTGCTGCATCTCTGACTGATGTGGTTTGAGCTGTGTCTTAACAGCATCATAGGCTTCAGAGACAGCACACCCATAACTGGCGCAGACCACATGGCATGCTGTTCAGCGTCACCACAGCCGCAGAAAACAAGCATATGCGTGCATTTGTGTGTGCCACTGCACTATCTTTTGTTTTGGCTAATGCACACTCAACATCTGCTTATTCTCAGAAATGAGAAAACCAAGTATTTGCGTGAGCTAGTTGTGACTATATGATATCTCACTGTTTCTGGGCCAGAATGCATGTTGGTGGTTAAATAAAAGACAATATTTGTATTCAAGTTAAAAATGGCTCTAACCACAGCTATGTTAATGTGCCACTACATGGTGTGAACCAAAAGAAAAGAGGAGAATGGGGCAGGCATGTAAAGCGAGACCTTGCTTTCTAATTCTTTCTCACTTTGTTGTGTTTGTTCATGTTTTTTTTTAATTTAACATTCACTCTGCATTGGTGCAAGAGGGACAAGGCGAGAAGATCTTACTGGATTCCTTTAGAAACCACCAGACTTTGTGTCGCTTTTGGCTCCATCTGTCATGGGAATTTATTCCTTTTGTTGTGTTTTGTTGGTATTTTCCTCATATCTAACTAGTCAAGACAAATTCTGGGAACAAGACTCGGTTAAAAAGGCAGAGGTCATGTTGGATTTAAAGAGGAGACACTGAACTTTATTTTAGATGATCGTGAACGCTCTCACTTGCTTTTGTGTGACTTAGTGTGTTGAACCAGGCTTGGACTGGCTTATTTGGGTTACCTCAGTGTCTTCGAATTAGATATGGGCACACTGACTGGTAGGTTGTAGTATCTCATGTTTTGACTAAGTTCAAGCTTTCATTATTGTTCCCACATCCTTCATTAAAACTTTGTTAAACTGAAAAGGTTCACAGGCTGTGCAAAGTTTTTTTTTTTTTTTGGCTAGGTTTCATTCATAGGTGCATTACGTCAGACAAAAGCTCTTATCAGTAGTTCTAACTCACTACCTGACAACCATTGTATAGGAAGCCTGAAGTCTAAACATCCCTGCCAGCGAGGAGGAGAACAAGAACAGAAGGGATGGGAGGGATCGTTTCCTCAGCTATCGTAAGGATAAGAACAATGATAGGGTGTCGTAGAGGAAATGTGAGAGAGCTTTATGTCCACACCTACCAGGGCTAGTGGTTGGGGGTTGCAGGCCGGCACTGTCTGCAGGAATTGTTAGACTGACTGATTATAGGACACAAGTATGGAGGTCTAGGCTGGGTAGACCTTGGCTGAGGCTGGCCCTCCCAGGCCCTCTGTCTCTGGTTGTGAGAGACAGGAAGTCAGGGGTATGAGTGGTGGAGAAACACAGGATGTCTGAGGAACCTGGGCTGACCTCACCCCTGTGCATGTTAAGTGGATAAAAAAAGAGCAAGAGCGTGTATGACTTTGCTCTTGTGCAAGTGACTGAAAGTGGCCTTGGATTTAGTTTTTCCTGTTTTGGTTCTCCCCTGTCTTCATCATGACCCAGAAAATGGGCTGCAGGCGGAGTGTGAGGGGGTGCATCCGTTTTGTCTTCTGTTTGCAATATAAGAGGGTAAAGAGTTCATCCCAAGTGTTGAAGCATGCATGGCATGGTATGTATATATATATGCGCGTGTATGTGTGTGTGTGTGTGTTTCAGTGGCATACTGTGGTTGTATTGTTTTTACAGCTGGGATCTTGAACCATGAATCAGTCATGTCCGGGTCTCATGCAGTCAAGTGTGTGTGTTTCAGAAGACAGTATGCATTTCTCTACGGATCTGGCAAGCGCCTGCCCACTTTGAGTCAGTCTAGACCTCTCAGACAGTAATAATATACACACACAGACACCACAGGTGCAGGGTTAAAAAGGCAGCGTTTAGTGTCTTTTGTGAAAACTAGTCAGGTGTTTGTGAGGGTTTATTACTGCCTTCTGATAATTTAGGTTATATGTTTTACACCAAATACACAGAACATTTTCTGTTTGTCGAAGGCAATTTATGTCAGAGCATGTGCACAGTTTTGCATATTAAATTTGCTTCTTCTCTTCTCTCCTCCTTGTTTCCAGTTCTACATACAGTCCAGGTTTACATGGCGTGGCGCTCGTCTCCTCCGCCCATTGCTCCAGTTCACTTTGCTGATGATGGCTTTCTACACTGGCCTATCACGCGTGTCTGACCACAAGCACCACCCGACCGATGTCCTGGCAGGATTTGTGCAGGGAGCCCTGGTGGCCTACTGCATAGTGAGTTCACGCAACACAACACAACACATTCAAACGATTTGAGACATATGAGAAATGCAACATAATTAGAAACAGGAAGAGTGTCTGAGATTTACACCTTTTCTTTAACTGACCATTGTGGATCCTACAACCAAAGCAGTCTTCAAATAAAGTTTTCCTCAACTTATCTTCCTTATTCCACTTTTTCTTCTCTCTGCTTTTGGTAAAAGGAGAAACGGAGCAGGCAATGAAGACGCGAGGACAATCTGATTCCCTTTAATGAATAACACATTGCTTGGAGCCAAGCCTTAGTTTAGAAGTGTGTTCGTGAGTGTGTGTGTTGGAGTGAATCTTTGCCTCTTGGTGGGATTCCATACTCTACAGCCATTCTTGCTACTTTAGTGACATATTGTCACAGGAGTTGCCAGATGATTTTCATAACCATCGTCATTACACTAAGCTAGATGGAGCCAAGGAAAATTGAATTTGGGTCAAGAAGAAAAAAAAAGGGGGGGGGGGTGTAAAAAGAAAAAGAGAGAGTGGGGAGGAGAGAGAGGATTAGCCTTTGAAACAGGAATGAGGCTGTTAATTATTTGGGTTTTTTATTTGGTGGCTCTGGTTCTATCAGCACAGCAGGACTCAGCTAAACTCTGCTGCCTGTGGCAAAAATACGGACGTGAACACACACACGCACACGCACACACACACACACACTTACCTTTCGACAGGATCCAAATCATCAAAGTGGAAAGTTAGATTCATAAAATTGAGCAAGACCTCAGTAGTGGCGCCTAGCAGACCTTGGCAGAGCTAAAACGTACAAAAACACTCACACAAACACACACAGAGAATAACACACAGTCCTTCAATACCTGGATTAGAATTCATGAGCAGAAACCAGCAAGTAAAACAATAACTGTAATGGCCTGGCGAAACCAGTTCTCCTCCAGCTGGGAGCAGCCTTCTGACGACATCAGCCTTGACAAGTAAAGAAATTATGTTTTTTAGAAATATACGCATTGAACTCTGAATTGGCACATTTGGGGGAGGAGTGAAGGGAGGAAAGTGACTAGAGAAGAGCCTTGTCTAACGTCTTGGCTTGGGATGAGCATGGGTTTAATCCAACTCAACTATCCCACAAACTTTCTGCTTTTGCATGAAGAGAGACAGCTTAATCCAGACGTACAGACACATTATTCATGTCCATATCCTTACAACACATATAATGTACACACACACACACGCACACACAGTCAAACCCCTGCCGATTAAGGCAGTGAGGTTACTTTTACAATCCGTGACGCCTCTTCTGATTTGCCAGGTTTTAGTAGAAACACACATCTGTGAGTACTTTACTTCAGCGCTTTCTGCCTCTCAGTAAGCAGTGGAGCAGAAAGAGCCTGATAGGAGATGAGTGGAGGCAGGACAGAGAAGATGTAAAACCTGTGTGGCTTTCAGATGCCAGCGGAAAGTTTTAAGATCTTTAGATTCTAAGTTAGAAACTACACAAGTTTAATCGTTTTTTGTAAAGTGTAAAATGAAGAATAATCACGATGAAGAAGGTAAAAGAATTTAGGAGTTTCATGGTATGCAGTCCATTAATCCAGTGTGAACCTTTCAACATGAAAATGTGATTTTCCAGTCACTTCATGATACGCAAAAGTCGGACTTGATGAAGTGAAGAAAAAATGAGAAGAATTAGTGGATTTGCTTGCTAGTCTCAAGTGCGCAGTCATGGACGGATGTTATACTGTGAAACAGCATCTTCCTTTCCAAATAAATTTAGCTGACTCACTGCAAAGATGTGTGTTGTGCCGTGAC